TATATATGAATGTTGTGGTTTCCCACGTTTACGATTCCACTCGTGTAACGTTATGTAGCGGTTTTTGAGTTGTTTTCAGACGAGTGTATACCAAACCGGGCAAGCAGAAAATTCTACTTGACCGCGGCTGGGATTCGAACCCGCGACCTTCGCATTTCTAGAACGATGCTCTACCTTCTGAGCTACAAGGTCAAGCTGAGAACGACGTGTTAAGTTATGATGTTATTCGCATTTCGGAGGTTAGTCCTACAATGCGTAAAGCCAGCTATTAGTCTGGGAATGTTGTATGTGAATGTTGTGGTTTCCCACGTTGACGATTCCACTCGTGTTACGTTATGTAGCGGTTTATGAGTTGTTTTCAGACGAGTGTATACCAAACCGGTATATATATATATATATATATATATATATATATATATATATATATATATATATATATATATATATATATATATATATATATATATATATATATGTATATATATATATATATATATATATATATATATATATATGCATACATAGTCTTTGTAAAATGTGGAACTCTAAAGATTTTATCATGCTATCACTAATCACAATGTCGATTTGAAGCTATATCGACATGTGCATAAATATGTTTGCTTGATTTATACAAAGTTTTCATTCTCGTGCAGACATATGCCCCATAGCCATTGTAAACGGATTTAAGACTGGAAATTATGAAATATATACTGAATGTCATAAACATACTCGTTTATATTAATTCAGCATCGAACAATACTAGTTATTGTTCGATGCTGAATTAATATAAACGAGTATGTTTATGACATTTAGTATATATTTCATAATTTCCAGTCTTAAATCCGTCTGACCGTGTAGCTCAGTTGGTAGAGCGTCGATCTAGTAATTCGAAGGTCGCGGGTTCATGACCCAGCCGCGGCAGACTTTATCTTTCTGCTTACGCTGGGTATGAAAATTATATCATACACACTCGAGAACATTTTCACCTTAATATATATATATATATATATATATATATATATATATATATATATATATATATATATATATATATATATATATATATATATATATATATATGAGATATCATGTTCAACACGAGAAATAAATCTGGTATTTCCAAGCACCCATGTATTTTGCTGTTAATATATGAAGGACAGAAAAGCGATAATTGAAAAGCGATAATTTACATGTGAGATTGTCATGAATAATCTCACATGTGAGATTATCACTTTTATCAGTGCCCGAAATCTGTACAAAGCACAATACTTTATATAATAAAATACAATAAAAGCACGCAACCCGTTTTCCATTTCTTAAATAATCACCTTCCAAAACAATGCACATCTTGTTCGATGTCTACTTTGAAAATATCAGCGAGATATCTTGTCATTATAGTGACCAACTTGCCGAAATTGGGCTCTTGAATGTCCAGATCTTGCCTGGATCTCCGACTCAAGATGGTGCTGACGCAATACTGTCCTTCTTTGTTGAACTTCCTAGTGGAACCATACCTTCGAATCTCCTAACAACAATTTTCACGACTTCACCAAATATTGTACCGCAACAAACTTCTGTTGTTAATTTAACATTGAGTCAGAATCCTGACCTTACGAATGCTGAAACAGAAAATCTTATTCCATTGACGATAACTACATATACAATCCAGGTATGTCCCGATAATAACTGGTATGTCCCGATAATGTCTAAAAGAATTTCGAAATTAAATATGATAATCGAAATTATGATTTATATATTCCCCTTATTATCTCTGTCCCATTAAACACTGGTTTAAAATATAGTACAATAAAATCTAAATTTAATGGCCATTTCAATTATTTAAACAAGAGTAGCAAGAAAAAAGGCGAATCAAATTGGTACTACGCCTACCTTTCGATATTTTAACATATTTTTAGTGAAATAGTCAACGATGCAGGGGTGTAAAGGGCAAATGTTCAAAACTTTGTTGGGCAAAAATACATTCAAATCATGAACAAGCTAGATGTCCAGTTTTGAGCAATTTTAAAAAAGTTGCTATTCGAATATAATTTTGTCGTTTACTGACAATCAGAATTCGGAAAAATCTTCGCCCAAAGTGAATGAAATCGCCATTCAGAAACTCTAAATTTCACAATTTTCTGGAAGAACATGTCCATGCACATACCCCGTAGGGATCTCGCGTGCTTTTGGCACTCAATACTTTGGCCTACACATCATCGTCCGCGTGGCTAAAGGGACCAGCAGGTTCACTGCATGCATGAAAAGCGGAACATAACATGTACATGGGCTTGGTCGAAGACGAGGCTATCCTTGCGGACCATGATACTACTTTTTTTAGTATATTTTATAAACTTCAGTATACCCAGGACTCGTTTGTTTCTTTAGTTGCAATAGTTTTTATTAATATGCAATTGCAATATGTTCCTCTAAATATATTACTTTTTTCTTACGAAATTTAATGTTTGTATTAAGTTAACGTGAAACTAATATAACAGTAGAGTTGATGTTCACGGGCATAAATATGTTTTTGCCTGTCTCCGACTCATTTTAACCAGAGCGTAGCGAGGGTGAAAATGAGGTCTGATGAGGACCAAAAATATATTTATGCCCGCGAATATCGTGCAACTGTATTACTATTGTGATAACTTTAGAGGGCGATTACATTATATAAAAGATTAAAAAAATGGCAAATGGTATAATGAGTACAATGCCGCCTTGTTGCATGCATGGTTTAATAATTCACTGTAATAAACTAGAGTCTCAGCTTATCTACGGAAAAAAGAATTGAACCGTTCTCAGAAGACAAAACGATAAATGAAAATAGTTAATACAATTTATTGATGAAGTGATAGTTGAGTATAAAAAAAAGCTAGTTTCGCTATAGTTAATTAGACAAGTGAACTATACGATAAACTTACATTCACTTCGTCACCGCCTTGTATAGTTTCTGCCACAACATCAGTAATTCTTGTTTTTAGTTGCTTTTTGATGTGGATCTTCTTATATTGTGATAAAATTTATTTTATTCCGCTAAATTGTTCATTTTAGCCCGCAAAATAAAGCACTATGCCCGCTAAAGTTGTTATAATAAATTAATTAACTAATAGTCAAGAATAATTTATGAATTCGTCATATTGCTGCTGGCAACAATGCACATGCAGCTGATTGTTTTACAGTTTTGCATCCACGTCATTTAATATGTATGGGAATATTTGAAATCGTATTTTGGTTTGTTCTATAGGATATAAGGTCGGATGTTCAGGTTTCAATTGCGAAACGACTGAATGAATACTGCCAAAATAATTCAGATGTCCAACTATGTTCGACAACAAGGTAGGCTATATAACTATCTGTTACTTTAAGATATAAATCATGTTGATTCGAGAAAGTACTACTAGTTAACATGCACCGAATTAGGATGTAAACGAACGTATATTCAGTTATGTAAATTTGCAAACGTATTAAATTGAATTCCGATTGGCTACATTTGTAATAAGTGTAAATTATGAGACCATATATATATATATATATATATATATATATATATATATATATATATATATATATATATATATATATATATATATATATATATATAGCTAATTCAATAAAGGTTGTCCTTTGCAAACCTTAAACTTTAAAACCTTAAACCTTAAACTCTAAGCGCGCAAAGCATGATGGGAGCACTGATTCAAGCTTAGTAGTTGATTATTGCAGCTGTTTGTCAATGAAATGTTTTTGCAGGAAGATATTTATCATGTCTCCAAGAAATGGGTTCCATATATGCTTTGTAAACTGCTGAAATCGTGCTCCCATTATGCTTTGCGCGCTTAGAGTTTAAGGTTTAAAGTTTTAGAGTTTAAGGTTTCAAAGGACAACCTTTATTGAATTTGCTGTATATACAGGGTGTATCAAAAAAAACTGAACAGATTTGAAATTGCTCTCAATTTCGCAAAACACCGATTTGTATCCGGTTTTTTATAGATATAGCTTCTTTGGGTACTTAGAATGTAGAATAATGAAAAAAATTTCTTGAACTCAAATATTGTGAACCAGGGGGGTGTGTCTTTTCCAACAAAATAAAAATGGCTTGCGCACAAAATTTAAAAGCTGTAATCATATTTTGAGTTAATAGATGGAACATTTGTCGCATTTTTAATTACTGTACAAAATTTCAGACAATTTGGTTTAGTTTAAGCCGTTTAACTATTCACGCAAACTTACATTTTTCCTAAAAATCAGCTATTTGCATGCTTAATTAATGCATTTGCCTAATTTGCATATGTTAGCAATATGCAAATTA